ATAATTGCAAGGAATTGGAAGATAGTTATCAATTTTACTCTGGAAGCATGATATGGGGAGGTATGGAAAGTAGCTTTAAAGTAGCCTTAGCAAGGGAAATGAGAGTGTTCGGGGAGAATTAAAAGATCAGAATTTGATTCATATTGGTTGGTTTTCATTAAATATATTTTAGACAGTGATAAGGGAAAACAATACAACCTTGTTGGTCAGGAATTTTGACATTTGTTAACTGGTTGACTCATAAATTTAAGGCAAATGAAATTATACTTGTTCAGGCCTTGGTGGTAGGGTTATATTTATAAAGCGTTTGTTGTTTTATGTTTTGTGTTTTATTTACACTGTAATTGTTAGTGTGTGTGTGTGTGTGTATGAAAGGCCTATAGATTTGCCCCACATCGGGGTCAATCCATGGGGTCCTGGTGGGAGGTGTGGAGAAACCGTTGCTCCACACCCCGCATTGCCCATCTTACCTTTCTCCTTCCCCAATGAAGGGAGGGCAACATGGGAAGGCTCCCATGTTGTCACAACAACAACAAAACTTTATTTATATACTTCTCTATCTCCCCAAGGGGACTCAGAGCAGTTTCCAAGTAACATCACCAATACTTACAGAGCAAACAACATAAAGATAAAATTAACAAAACAATATAAGTATAAAATTGTCACAGTAACACATATATCTTAAAAGTAATCCTGCCTATTCAAGGCAATTTAAAAGACAGGGCCAAGGCTAGTGTAAGCTCAAAATTTCCAGGGGGCCCAGGAAATTAAGTGCAGTGCTATAGTAGGCACCAACAATAACAGGCACGATCTATGGCTGTTCATATCTGGGGTCTATTAGAGGGAGTGACCTGGGTAATTGGTAGGAAGAATAAGGCCATATTCAACAATGTCTGGAGCTGAGCTAGAACTAGTCATTCTCAAAGGCTTGTTGAAACCACCAGGTCTTCAAGCTCTTACAAAAGGAAGGGGGGATGGGACCTGTCTTATTTACCTAGGAAGGGCATTCCAGAGGCGGGGGCCACCACCGAGAAGGTCCTCTCTCTTGTCCCCACCAACCATACTTGTGACAGTGGTGGGAGCGAAAGGAGGGCCTCCCCGGAAGATGATAAAGTTCACACCGATCCATAGAAGGAGATGCAGTTGCAAAGATAGGTGGGACCCAAACTGTTTAGGGCTTTAGAGGTCATTACCTGCACTTTGAATTTGGCTCGGCAACTTATTGAAAGCCAATGAAGCTGTTTCAATAGGGGCGCTGTATGCTCCCTATAGTTTGTTCCAGTAAGGAGCCTGGCTGTGACATTGAACCAATTGAAACTTCTGGGCCATTTTCAAGGGCAGCCCTATGTAGAGTGCATGGACCACCCTGGCCAAGTCAGACTTTACGAGTTGTGGCCACAGCTGGCGCACAAGTTTGAGTTGTGCAAAGGCCCTCCCGGCCACCACTGACACCTGAGCCTGGATGCTGCTTCACCTCCCTTTTTGCCATGGAGCCCAGCAGGAAGTCCTTTTACCTTGTGTGAAGGGAGGTGAAGCAACGCACAGCAAACAGCCCATCTGATGAAGCAGCATGTCATAGACAAGAGATTCAAGAGATTCAATGTGGTCTACTGTTGAAGTTTTATAAATGTGCATACCCACACACTGCTACAAACAATGGCCTCAGCTTCGAAATGCAGGCTTTGATAGCTTTCCAAGCTAAAGCAGAAAGAATCCACTGAAAACAAAAGCCAGCCTTCCATCATGTATAGTGGCAGACATAGACATTGCAAAATTTGTTATGAACTAGCCTTGATCTCTTCTCTTTTGCATCTTAGAATTGGCACAGAACATCCTGCCTCCTATAATGTCAGCTTGTGTGGTTCTGAAATATGTTTTCCTTATGTACCTTATCTGCTGGAAACCACAAAAGTAAATGATGAAACACTCCTCTTACTTTGTCTAGCTTTGGGGTTTTTTGTCATGGTAATTCTTCAATAAGAAAATATTTTTCCAGATTCATTTCAGGAACTTCAAATGCTTGATTTGTGGAATAAGTATTTGAGCATCCAAAGTCATCAAAACTTTTACAAATCAAAGCAAGACTTTTCAGCTCAGAATAAGAAAAAAAACTGTCTTCATTTGATCACTTTTTTTTTCAAATCCGATGTTCACTGACCATTTTTGATTGTGTGAAGTTTTTCAATTGTATGTATTATTAGCTTTTTAAATTTAAAAAAATCCACAATGGATTTTATTTCCCTGTGTTTTTAAATACGTATTGAGGAGATGCAACATTAGAATCATAGAATCACTGAATTGGAGGAGAACATAAGGGACATCCAGTCCTTGTGGTCCAGCCACTGAAAAACCCCAACTCCAAATAGGATTATTTTCCATCCCTCTATATTCTGTCCCACTGCATAAAGTAGATGAGTAAGTTCAATTCTTTAAGTAAATTCCTAAGGAGAGCTAAAAAGCTTATCTGAAGACAAGGTCTGCTCAGACTTCTCTGAAGTCATCACTTTAGAGTTGACCTTGGAAAAACTATTTGTGTGGCAGTTCATTCCCCCATCACATTCAGCAGTCCTGTGTTTTATCAAGTATCACCAAGGAACACAGTAATGCCATTTTTCCTGACATTTTATAGATTTTTTTCACGCTTCTGGTGTGAGAAAATTGGCCGTCTGCAAGGACGTTGCCCAGAGGACGCCCAGAAGTTTTACCATCCTGTGAGAGGCTTCTTTCATGTCCCTACATGAATAGCTGGAGTTGACACATGGGAGCTAATCCCTGCTCCCTGGATTTGAACCGCCGACCATTCGGTCAGCAGTCCTGCTGCACAAGGGTTTAACCCATTGCATCACTGGGGCCTCCTATATTTTATAGATATATGGCATAGAGGTCCATAACATAGTTAACCAAAATTACATTCAGTACTCTGAAAGTATATAATATAGCTTCATACTTTCATGGGATCGTCTTTGTAACCTTCCCAAATTTTGCTTATTTTCTGACATTTGTGCCCATGTTTAACTCATTTCACCCAGAAACTAGGGAAGACAGAAGCACATCTTTGTTCAGATGCCCCTAGTCTCATTTACAATCCAGATGTGTTGTGGGCTACTACTGAAGAAGCTTTGACCATAGGGAACAGAGGCTCTCCCAGGCCTGGTGTAGTAGCCAAAAATATTGACCCATTTTGTCTTAACAAATGGTTGCATCTGGAAGGGTTTATTTTCCCATATGCTTTTTATCTACTTCTATTTCTTAGTGATTGCTGCAGCTGCATAAAAAAATTCATGTGACAAGTGGCTTACTGTCAATCTCAACTAAACAAAGCTACAGTGCATATGTTGTGCTGTGCTAGAGAGGAGGAAGGGCACACTAGTTTATTTACTCAGCGTCCCTCAATAGGGCACGAGCCAGAGTTTTTTGCTTCTTTTGGCTTCCTAACCTGGCTAAAGGCCTACACACATAGTCTCTGCAGGCTATCATGTAGAATCTCCTCATGCTGTCTTCAAAGAGAGACTAATGGCCGATTGAAGTTAATGCAAGTTTACTTTTTAATGGCTGTATTTATTAGTTTGGATAAGTCTTGAATTACATCCACCAGGCACCACAAAGCTTTGCAACCTCCACTCCCCGCCTCTTCTGTCATATGATTCTCATGGAGAGAAGCTAAAACTGAATAATAGCAGTTCTTGGTGGGTTGCATCAAAGGCTGATATCTGGTTTTCTTAGTTTTCCTATTAGAATATATACATATCTAGCAAGAGAGCAAAAATTGTAATTTCTAAAGTTTGCTAGACATGTGCACAACATTCGTTCCCACCATTTCTACTGTTTCTTTTGTGTCTTCTATTTCTTTGGAAGTATGAAATGGGAGGCCTCTCCCCACATGAAAATCTGTTCAACAGGAAAGCCCCCCCCCCCCAATAATGGTCTGATTTTCGGGCCCCAAAATGAAAGAACTGAAAACAACCCTCCCAATTTTGGGAGGCTTACAAAAACAGATTGAGGCCCCCATTGAAAACCGGGACACAAAACGGGGCAAGGTTTACCCCAAATGCACACGTTTAGTAGATACAAAGAACATAAGAAAAACTTGAACTGTATTCTGAAAGCATTTCCTGGGGATTACTATAATTTGTAAGTGATCATGCTGGCTGGAGAATTCTAGGCATCTTTTAGAACAAAAATAACTTCTAAATTCTGTGTAAAGCTCAATTTAGATCAGCATCACATTGATATGCCGTACATCAAGTGTGGAACACCTTACTTGTTCTATGTATAATTAATTGTAATTCTGCAAATGAGCTTCTATATATTGTTTAGGTACATTCAAAAATATATTGATATACTAAAATCTCTATGGACTCTAACATAAAAAATAAATTTCTATTCAATTTGAAGTCCTTCTGTAAACCAGGAACCACCTAAACAACTTTCTCATTAATAACACTACATGTATTCATGATATTTTAAAAAGTATTTCCTCCTATATTTTTCTTTTTGTTTCAGTATTCTCAGGCTTTAAACCTTGTAGCTTGTGTGATGGATTTGTAATATCCACACCCAAGAGGAAAGAGACTAGGAAACTTGGGGAAACCCCAAATAGCAGTGTAAACAACATGAAAGATAAAGTATTTGCATGAGAGGGATTGAACACCAAAAACAGCCCAAAGGGGAAGGGAATGGCCGGAAGCCAAAAATACAGTCCACAGTGCAAGAATTTGTTGGAAACCTTGCTTCTTATCAGCCAGTTGACCTGTGAAATGAAACAGTTTGAGCAGGAGCTATATGCATACTTATGTATAATCTGTTTGGTTTTTATTGTGTTATGTGGTAATGTCTTACATAGATTTTTATTGTGTAGGAGCAGTATATAATGATTATGAATAAATTGACATACTATTGGACATTAACACTGTCGATGAATGGCTGACTTTCCTCACTAACTTTTGTATCTCAAAATCATGCCCACAATGTCTATAAACTATCTGCTTTTTTCCTTGCAGGGGGTTTCCAAAGAAAACAGGCCGAACTGCCAGGATTGCATCTGATGAAGAAATTCAGGGCACAAAAGATGCCGTTATCCAGGACCTCGAAAGAAAGCTTCGCTTCAAGGAGGACCTGTTGAACAATGGCCAGCCGGTACGCAATTGCAAGATTGAAGGAACTCATTAGGCACCGCTCTGAACTGTTTCCTTAATCTTTATAGGTCTAGAAAGAACCCTGCCAAATACAGATTTCGTTCCTTGGAGTCTTCTGCATAAGCCAGTTCTTTTACATGTAAATCCAACTGTTACAAATTCCTTCTTCTGCCAACAAAAAAAAAACAGCAAGAAGGGAGCCATCCTTTATCTCCTATGGAAGTGAGATCCCAAGCAACCATAGAAAAGGCTCCCTTTTGCTCCCCCACCAAAAACATTTAAAGTAGTAAGGTTAAAAGATGTAACTCTCCTGAATACCTTCACTTGAGCAACCTCACAAGGAAAAATTCAGACTAGCTAGACCCAAACCTATATGGGTCATAACTATCACTTTGAATCATGCCCAGAAACAAGAGTCACAACCAGTAGACCTTTAGTAACACAGGAGATTGCGCTCCCTGTCTTTGGACCAGTCAAAATGTACAAACACTCAAAGGCAGCTCTATAGTTAATGCATCAAATCACTGTGACCAAGTTGGGGGTCACTAGAAACAGGCGCAGTTGGTGCATTAATTTTAATTGTGGGACTGCAGTCTTACCCACCACCAGAACATGAGCATCTAGGAGTAGACTCAAAATGAGAGCTTTGTTTTCAGAGGGAGTATAGCCCTGTCCAGCACAAGATCACTGTTGATCTATCTTGCTACTGATTTTCTACTTCTAGATCAGTGGTTCTCAACCTGTGGGTCCCCTACAACTCCCAAAAATCTCCGACAGTTCACCAGGTGTTTGGATTTCTGGGAGTTGAAGGCCAAAACATCTGGGGACCCACAGGTTGAGAACCACTGTTCTAGATTAAGCTTCAGTTTGCTTAACAGTCAATTACTGTTTAAAACTGAAATACCTTGTGTGGATTGAGGTGGAAAACCAATATATGATTGGGTGCCATCAGCACATACTGATGGCACAGAGCCCCCAAATTTCTTTCATGTATCTCTTGGGGACAATTGAAGACCAAACAGAATCCTTGGGACTTCACAGGCAAATGGCAAAGAGTCAAACAGGAGTCCCACAGCTTAACCAGATGGGAGCCCATATAAACATTGCTTCCAAGTCCCATCCCAGGAAAGTGGATCAGAAGGATACAATGAATGATGGTATCAAAGGTTGCTGAGTAGGTCCAGCAGATACAAAAGGGACATGCTTCCTGTCCACTAAAGTGAATCAAGCTATTTCTATCTCAACTCATGATGCTCCTTTTGAGAAATAACTTCATAACCAATAATAACATTATCTTTTTCATGTAATAAGTGACATTTTGTTTTTACTGCTAAGGGCCCTTCCACATAGCTGTATAACCCAGAAGATCAAGGCAAAAAATCCCACAATATCTGCTTTGAACTAGGTTGTCTGAGTTCACACTGCCATATATTCCAGTTCAAAGCAGAAAATGTGTGATTTTATTCAGCTGTGTGGAAGGGTCCTAAGACAATCCTTTGGGAGGCATTTCGTGGTACTGTGGAGCCTTTATGCACCTTTTTCTGTTTTCGGTGATGGTGATATAGCAGCAGTAACAGCAGTAAATGTGTTAGTAATTCATTATTCTTAAAGTTGTTACTAACAGATAATAACACCTCATGGGTCACTTTTGGAAATAACATTTTATGCTTTTCTATGATCAACATCTTGTGCAGATACACTGGGTCTAGGCTTTTCTTGTTAACTCATATATTTTTTCTTCTCCCATTTTGTTTAGAAATTAACATATGAGGAGAAGATGGCTCGCCGACTGCTAGGTGCTGACAGTGCTGCAACTGTCTTCAATATTCAAGAGCCAGAAGAAGAGCTGGCCGGACAGGTACTTCTTTGTGGCTTTCTAGTTATACCGTAAAAATAATCATTTTATTTCATTGTTTTTAATTTATTTCCTTTTGAGATGTTAAAAAGACACTGCATTTTTTAAAAAGGGAGTCGTGTCTAATTAGATCTCCGACTTGTAGGGTGAAGTGATGCTGTAGGGAGATGCTTTATGTTCTACCCAAAACTATGGCTGATAGAGTGAATAATAAACATATCTGCTTTAGAAGTATTTAAAAGCAGAGGAGATGCATACAATAGAGGATAAAAAAGTGATGGTGTTGAAGTCACAGTCCTACATGTATGGACTCCACATGACCAAGAAGCAAGTGGCCGCTGCCTGCATTGATATCCTTCCAGACCAGTGGTTCTCAATCCCGGATGTTGTGGCCTTCAACTCAAAGAATCCTAACAGCTGGTAAACTGGCTGGGATTTCTGGGGGCCCACAGATTGGAGACCCACAGGTTGAGAACCACTGCTCCGGACCATCTTAACCGACAATAAAAGCAACATCTTAGACAAAATGAAAGACTGTTACTCTTAACATTGGCATTTTTTCTTCTCCTATATAATTGTTAACATCTTCCCCTCTTGAAAGTAAACTTCAAGTCTTGCATGATGTATTTTGTGCAGTTCAGTTGACCCCAATAAACATAGATTTGAAATTTGGTTGTATTTTGTTGCATGGCCAACAGAGATGACCCTGAATATGTTTCCAGAATAACAGTTAATGTTTGTTTCACCTGTATTAGCCATGCCTAATTGATTAGATATGAAGTTGTTTTGTTGTCACTCCTCCCTTTCTTCTGGGCTGAGCTAAGACATTTTGCTACCTGAGAGACAGCTAAAAATAGTCAACCACCGCTATATCAGCCTCCATAATCACTAGCCATTGCACTCTGTGGTAGTGGGCTATGGGAGCTCTAATCCAATATATATATAAAGGTAAAGGTTTCCCCTGACATTAAGTCTAGTCGTATCCGATTCCGGATGGTAGTGCCCATCTCCATTTCTAAGCCAAAGAGCCAGTGTTGTCAGTAGACACCTCCAATGTCATGTGTCCAGCATGACTGCATGGAGCGCCATTACCTTCCTGCCAAAGTGGTACCTATTGATCTACTCACATTTTGCATGTTTTCGAACTGCTAGGTGGGCAGAAGCTGGGGCTAACAGTGGGAGCTCACCCCACTCCTCAAATTTGAACCACCAACCTTTCGGTCAGCAAGTTCAGCAGCTTAGAGGTTCAACCCACTGCGCCACCATGGGCTCCCTACACATTTACCTACACATTAACAATTTGTTCAGTGGGTGCACTTTGGTTAGGACTAACCCATAGGATTCAAGACATAGTATACTTCTATCACTGTGACTTGTACAGTTTATTCTTGGTGATACCATTCTTAATATATGTAATTTGGATTAAACCTCCAGCCAATTCATACATAAGTAAAGAATTCTGAAGCAAGATGTAAAACCATATCAAAACTGAAATAGAATTTTTGGTCAGCAAATTCATAGATAGATAGATAGATAGATAGATAGATAGATAGATAGATAGATAGATAGATAGATAGATGAATTTTTCTGCCCCTTTTAAACATATATGAAGTAAAATTCATTAGCAAAGGAAACATGTTTGATTCCTCAGTTTAAGTTATCTTAAACTTAGTTGTTGTGTGGTGCTGGACTGTTTCTGTTGTTGGGGGGGATTGTCTGGGTTGGTGCAATTGTGTTTACATTTATATACAGATGTGCAACTACCCTTATCTTTGCGAAGCATGGGTATCTGAATTTGGACAAGAGAACAGAGACCTGTAAATTAAAAGTGATATAGCCAAAGTCACATGTGCTGTTTTAGGAGCAATTCCAATGAAAAATGTAGTGCTTTCTTCCGCAGGGAATAAAAGGGAGAACCATCTTAACATCTGTTCCTGCTCTAGCTCATTCTGTCTCTCTGATCCTTCACGATGTCAAGATAAAGCACTGTCTCTCCAACTTGAAAGGGTTTCTTGTTTTTTCCTGAAGGTGATTTTCACTTTTGGAAGCAGCCCAAGTCCAAAAGTGAAACATGAAGAAGATTTCTGAAAAAAGCCAAGAAAACCATTTATGTTGTTTATTGGGATGGGTATTCTGGCCAGGGACGTGCATATATAGTGGATTCTAATGCAAGAGTTCTCTGAGGCTGTAGTAGAGGCTCTCATAAATCTTACTTCCAGTGTCCCATCTCATTTTCTGCCTTTACAGGGAACTGGCTCTCTTGATGCTTCTGTAGTGACTCCTGAGGCTGTTCAAAAGGTTGCACTTTTCTTCTTTCTTGATTTTCTGTCTGCTGACCCCTTTGTTTATTCCTTCCTTTTCTGGTTTTACAAAGATGTTTCCAAGCATTCAACCTTGACACCTTTGTTTGCTGTCTATAACCTTTAATATTTGTAACTTTTTAAATCTTTGTTGTGTGGTTCGTGCTATTCCTTCTGGCTAAAGAGGTGCTCAGTTTCTCTCATAAGGGAAGTTTGTTGAAGGAAAACCATGGTGTTTACCAAAACTCTTGGTGGATTTTTTCTGTCACTAATGGCAAATGTAATTTTTGCTTAGAAAGTTAACCACATAAGAGCTCTCTTTCTGAAGAATAAGAATGGATAAATCTATCAATTTTTCCCCAATAGATTTTTAAAATATCAATGTTTTTATATCCCATTTATAAAGAAATGTTTATTTTGGTTTCAGCTGGCAGGGAGCTATTGAGGTTGGGTCAAATATATTTTATTATATAGATTCCATATTCAGATGCAAACATATGATGCCTGCATTAAGTAATATATAAAATTCTTAGCTGATCATAAACCAAAGAAATGCTCTCACTTCTTTATTGAAGAAACTATCTATTGCTGTAATAGCACAAAATTTCTATTGTTTCCATTTCTGTTCTTTCCCACTTGAGCAAGATGGTATAGGATGCCATTTTATGGTTTAGGGCTGGAGTTTGCATGCAACTTTCAGTGGTTCCCAACCTGTGGACCACAGCCCACGAGACCTAAAATAAGGTCCATAGCCCTAGATTATTCAATATGGTTTTCTGTGGAAGAGCAGATGGCGACTACAGGATGGCATATGCTCTGTACCAGAAACTGGAGCTGATGTGGTCTATCCAATGCAATGCTCTGAATCAGCACCCCCAAAAAAGCAAATTGAATCTAAATTTGACCAAAAATGGATCATAACTCTTTTGATACTAATGTTAGAGAGTGATCCCTGGTCAAAGTGGTCCCTGATGAAGTAGTCACTGGTCAAAGTGGTCCCAGGTCAAAAAAAGGTTGGGAACCACTGCTCTACACGGTAGAAAATAATGGCATAAGACATTAGTTATTATTTTCCTCACCCATTTACTCCCCCCAGAATATGGAGAAAGAGTGGATTAATTGTTAGTGTGTTTGCAATTTTTTTATAATACATTCTTAGTTTATAATCTTTGCTCATTATTTTTCTAAGGAACTCATTTAGGACAGGGATTCTAGCACTTTGTTTTGTATAGTGGAAAGTCCTGCATTATATGTACATCTGTAACATATTATGCTTTTTTTTACAAAGTAATAATCACAAAGTTGGGAAATTGAGTTAATTATAATCCCATTTCTAACTTGAGTTTTGTTTGTTTGACAGGAATACAAAGTCTCCAGCTTCGAACAGAGGTTGATCAGTGAGATTGAATTTCGGCTGGAAAGATCTCCTGTCGAGGAGTCTGATGATGAGGTGGAGCATGGAGAAGATGCCCCTGATAATGGTGTGGCTCCTTACTTTGAGATGAAGCTGAAACATTACAAAATATTCGAGGGAATGCCAGTCACCTTTACATGCATAGTGTCTGGGAATCCAAATCCAAAGGTGAGAAAAGATAATTCCTTTTAGTAGATGCAGGCTTTCAGATTGAATTTCAGCTGGAAAGATCTCCTATAGAGGAGTGTGATGATGAGGAATGGGCAACTTTGAACAAAGTCCAGTTGTGGCCTTCCAGCTAATTTGGGGCCATAATACATCTGGTACTTCGCCATTAGTTATGCTGACTAGGGCTGTTGGGAATCCAAAACATCTGGAGATGAACACTTGCCAATTGAAGACCTGGACTATTTAAGGTGTCCTTCAGAATTCAGTGAATTTGAGATATGTGGTATTCTGCTGAATAAGGCATTTAAGCTGTTCCCATTTCCTTTCACACACTCTCAACAGGTAGCAGTCAGTTCTGCCTGCTAGACCTGACCACCAAGGAATCTTTTATGAACTGTGTGGAAACTCAGACATACTAGATGTAATGTAATAAAACACTCTTGTTCTAATCTCATAAAACACACTCGGCATGTGGTTAATTCATTTTACCACACTTCATGTGGACCCAGCCAAAGGAAATGAAGTAACAGTACATTTATCTACATGCCTCAGACTCATAAACCCCAACCAGTTCTTAGATTCCTGTTATAATGGAGATAGTTAGGACTACTTTGCACGGTCTTGTTCTTCCTCCTCTTCCAACAATACAAAACCAGCAGATTTTCTGTAACCCTTATTAGTCAATGTCCAGTTGGCATAATGGTCTATCTGCTTTCTCAAAATGAACATCCTTGTGATGAGAAGTTCTAAGATGGGTATTGGAATAATAGAATCATAGAGTTGGAAGAGACCTCATGGGACATCCAGTCCAACCCCCTTCCAAGAAGCAGGAAAATGGCATTCAAAGCACCCACATATCAGTTTTGTATTTTCTATCTTCTATCCTCTAGACCTATATTGGCTTTGCTTCAACTTACTATATCTCAGTGGTTCCCAACCTTTTTTTTTTTTGACCAGGGACCATTTTAACAGGGACCACTCTCCAACATTAGTACCAAAAGGGTTACGGATCAGTTTTTGGTCAACTTTAGATTTGGTTTGGTTATTTTGGGTGCTGATTCAGAAAATTGCATTGGATAGACCACCTCAGCTCTAGTTTCTGGTACAGAACATGCCATTCAGTAGTTGCCATCTGCTCACCCACAGAAAACCATATTTAATAAGCCTTGGCACTGTAAGAGGATTTTGCGAGACCAGTCGCTCTCGTTGCAACGTTGTAGTAACTGTGAGGCCACGAACCATATTTTAGTTCTTGTGACCCACTGGTGGTCTATGGACCACAGGTTGGGAACCATTGTTATAGTTAGAAGTACAAGACACTTTCAGCTGTACTACAGTTCTTTTTTCCAAAGTGCATCTCGATTGCTAGTACTTGGTTAAATATTCTCCCCAAGCTGCCCTAACTATTAGAACCAAGGTTTTATATAGCAGAGGAATTCTGGATATCTGGTGCACTGGTCCTGTTTTGAGAACACTTCCAGAAAAGAGTTGTGTGCTATAAAAGGGGAAGTGGCTTATCTAAAAGGATTGTCTCTCCAGGCCATTGCTCATGCTGTGTGGGGTTTGTGGAAATAGAAATCCAACAATAGCTGGGAGGCCCATCCTGCCTTAATGTAAAATAGACATCAGGATGTATAATTAAAGATTAATGTCATCGGAGTTTCATTTAAATCCTGAGAAAATGACATCACCACATTTATGTTAACTTCCTTGTTCTCTTGTAATCACTTGGTTTACCTTTAGCCTGAGGGGAAGGGCAACATAATGTTTTGGCACAAGGTCCCTCCCAAGGGATCAATGAAGAACATCCCTGGTTCTTGTCCGATCTTGCTCAGAGATTGAGCTGTGGATAAGATGTGAATAACCACTTCTGGTGCAATATTTTCCATATTTGACTGAAGTGATTTCAGTAAATGAATATATGTGTGTAAATGTCATGTAGCCAGAGCTTAGAAAAGTTCTGAAATTCCCCAGCCAGCATGACCACTAGAAACTGCAGTCCAAAAAGAGTATCTATTACAACTTCTGAAAAAGAGTAAAAATAACCTTTCCTAAATGTGATGATGTTTGTCCTTCTCCTTTAATACTATCAGAAATAACTGATCTACAAGATCCATTTGGCATAAAACAAGTGAATTATACTAAAATGTTCAGCACATGAAGGAAACACTTTTTGGGCGTCATTTGGTTAAATAAGAATTACTAAAAGGAATGCTTATAATTATATCAAGTTTCTGATTAGAAGAATGAGATGTAATTGTGTACATATTAGCTTGGATCCTGACTCGGAGTCGGCATTTGTGAACCAAAGGAGCTTTTTCATTCAAGGACAGGATCAAAATCTAGCAGATGATCTCCTGGTGGGTTCAGTTTTTCTTGATCCCCTTCCCATTCCATAAACACACACAAAAAGACACTCTATACTAGATTGTGCCCTATCCTTTATTGAGTGTTTTGGATATTCAACTACATGAGACTATTAGGGGAAAAGAGTATAAGGAAAAAATTGCTTCATCTTTCCCACTGGTAAGAGCTCCTCTTGGCTGATATTCCTGCCAGCTGAAGCAAACATGGAATCCCAGCCATTTAAATATATGAATCTGAGATCTTGTTTCAGTGTCTTGCTTTTAGGGAGTGAGGAACAGGAGAAATAAATGTTTTATACTGAATTTCTCATACAGATTTGCAAGTCAGAGCCCTTCCAGACAGGCCCTATATCCCAGGATCTGATCCCAGGTTTTCTGCTCTAAACTGGATTATATGAGTCCACACTGCCAGATAATCTGGGATAAACAAAGAAAACCTGGGAGCGGATCCTGGGATATAGGACATGTCTGGCAGTGCCCCCAGTCACTTAATTCATGTGCCTATGTCTATATACAGTTCTGAGTTTAAGACTTTGTATTTGAGGTTTTGAAATTTAGTTTTCTGTATTTTAGATGGGAAACTTGTTTTTCTGTCAAATTTCAGATCAGACAAGTGAAGTTGTATATAGTTAATTAATAAAAGTTTCTGATTTTTAAAAAAGTATTTAAAGTAGGCAATGGCATCATGCAGCAGTGAGACAATAATGGTAACTTCCTGCAAGGAAAAATAATCCACAATACACAGATTTGGGAGTTTATGACAAGATAAAAAGAATGGGTATTAAGCATTAGTTATTTCACAACAATATCTATAACAGAAATCCATGTTTGGAGGCACTTTTTTACTTTATAGTTGTGTTAATCTAGAATATCAAGCACATTCAGTTTAATGCATCTGCTGCTTGCTTAATTCCTGGCAAGTCCTCTGCTTCTGTAATGAAAGAAATGTGTCATAAAATAATTACTAGGTTTTACAATGCTAACATCTGTCAGGTAAAAGTTACGAAACCTGTGAAATGTGCAGGTTCGAACTCATTTTTGCAACCATTCTGTTGCTCCGACTAGAGGTTTATAAATGATAATGTAACTTTTATTTGAAACAATAAAGTTGTGTCAGCATATGTGAGCCCGTTAACAAGCCTTTTGTTGGCAACACAGGCATTTTGTAATCCTGTACATACATGCATTAGGAAGAGATTTAATACTACTGGGCAAAGTTGAATGATTTTCGGCACTGACATGCAGTCCTTGTCAGCATTTCAGAATTTTACTTAGATATGTCAACCCAAAATAAATATTTCATATTTTGGAAATGGCTGAAATCCGATACCAGCCACCTATAATTAGTATATTTAGTTAACTAAAGTAACTTCTCCTGGTCCAATTCCCATGAACCTGATGAAAACATTCACCCGTACTTCAATCACTTCTGGAATGGGATGGTTTTCCGCATGTAGCTGATGACCAGTAAATTAGGTTTGTGTGTGTGTTGTAATTGTGACAATAGTGTCTTAATTGTTTTGTATTCACAATTACTACTTAATCCTGATAGTGACACTGTTGTTGGTAACTATATTTAACAAAGTAGCTGACACAGAATTCCAGCTGTTCATGCTATAACTCCCAGAATCTTTGAACCAATATAACATCCGAGTATTCTGGCTAGAGATTCTTGCTGTTCATAAAAACAACTTTTCCAAGATATGAAAAATTCCTAGTTGAATGGTCATGATCAGGATTTATTTGGTGTATCAAGGTAAAGAACTAAGGGGTGGCCAAACTCCATTCTTGATGTCCCAGTTTCTCACCCAAATCAAAGATCTTCCAAAGTCATTTGCTGGCATAATCTTTTCATTCATGACCGTTTGGAATGTTCATCATTGTTCTTAGGGATTGTTTGTTATATCACATTAGTTTGGACAACTGAGCCCACATGTCTGACACGACCTTAATAATATAATAATAATAACTTTATTTTTATACCCCACCAACCATCTCTCCAAGCGGACTCAGGGTGGCTTACAAGGGACAAGACCAAAAAATTACAAATTAAGAACAGAAACACCATTAAAATCAATGAATAAAATAAAAACAAACACAGTCATACTTACTTTGCTTAGGCGATCCCTCGTTGTCCAAGTAAAATTGTCCTCCAAGTTCAGTGTCCTGGCGGTGGGTACGTGGGTGACTGTGGAACCCTATTCTTGACCTGCATGTTCTCCCGCAGTGAGGGCATCGGGTTCCAGGTGGAAGGCGGTCCCGGTCAGGGTTGGCTTGATGCACCTTCCTCTTGGCACATTTCTCTCTGTTGCCCTTCATTCGTGCCTCTTCAAATTCTACAGCACTGCTGGTCACAACTGACCTCCAGCTAGAGCATACAAGGGCCAGGGCTTCCCAATTCTCTGTGTCTATGCCACAGTTTTTAAGGTTGGCTTTGAATCCATCTTTAAATCTCTTTTCCTGTCATAACAACAATCATAACATACTTACTTAGAACTCCAATTTTACTTGTACATCCCCACACTGTAGTGTAAGATCAATTACATCCCTCTCTAAGTATTTGTACTGCACAAGAATTAAAAGATTGGTCTAGAAATCAAACAAATGCAGTTTTTGTATAAATGTATAGGAGAAACATTGTTTTCAAGGCCTGCACAGTTCTTTGTATATTAAAGCAGTGTTCCTTTCTTCATTTCTTTGTTACTGATAACATTTCAAAGTACTTGTAAGCAGATGGTAATCTCATCTCAAACAAGCCTTGGGTGGCAACATCTTGTGAGAAAGCTATGACAGAGGATATAAGTATGAAATATTCACTAGTGATTCAAGTAGGACTACACATCATCCATTTTTTACACATATCTTCCTAGTTTAGCCCAGCTGGACAGTAGCTTGGCACAAGCAGCAGCAGAGTCTTCGGAGTAACAAAAATATTCAGTAATTCTACTGTAGGCATCTATATGAACCCTGTTTGTGTGTTCAGTGTATTTGCTAAACATTAATGAGGGGGGTGTAAGGTCATGATAACATGCTGTGTCCAAAACCATCTTTACAGATATGCAAAGGGAGAATGGAGAACATGTAGCTTTCCAGATGATGCTGGATAGCAAGGAGATGCAGTTCTTTAACCTCTGGATAGCTACACATTCTCCACTCTGTTGTATAAGTAGTTTGTAGAAATGGTGACCTCTGATTACACTAAGAAGCATATATATTGGTATGTTTTGTTCCAGTGGATATTAAATATTTGTAGATTGAGTACGTAAACAGTGTATTCCCTTGATTCCTCACACACATACACACACTTTTCCAAGATACACCATTAGTTGTATGAAAAGTCTATAAGTTGTAAGTAATTATGTTTATTTTTATTTATTGTGATTTGTCTTTGATCAGTTTAATAATCTGATTGTAAATGTGATTGACGATTGTTTTTTCGTGTTATAAGCTACCCCAAGTTCCTTTGGGGAGAGGGGTGGAATATAAAGAAAACATAATATTATTATTAAAAGCTTTTTTAAATTTTGTTTTATTTATTGAAGTAGAAGAGTTCAGCTGTCCATGCTGTGGGCAGAACCCCAAAAAATGTAACATGTTCTGGTATCTGAGATAAAGACTAAGCCAGTGGTTCTCAACCTGTGATGTTTTGGCCTTCAGCTCCCAGAAATCGTAACAGCTGGTGAACTGGCTAGGATTTTTGGGAGTTGTAGGCCAAAACACCTGGGGACCCACAGGTTGAGAACCATTGAGCTAAGCCATAAAGACCTCAGTCATTTTAGAAGTGGCAATTGTATATGATCTGCACAGGACATTGTAGTTATTCATGAGTTATACATGAGAAATTACTCATGAGTTATACATGTTGTCAAAACAACATAAACACAAGTGTATTCTCTTTAAAATATATTTTTCCAAGTTCTGCTGTCTACTTCTCCTCTCCTACTATTCCAAGTATATTGCTGAAACAAGACAGAGAGGATAGTTGGTTTCACTTGTAAGACCGAACTCTCCCCATGTTCTTTAAGAGCAAGAGAAATGTAATGAAAACTGAGAAGCAGATCTTGCCACATGCAACTCCATGCCAATTTTTAGTAATGGTTTTCATGTGCTGTAAACATAAAGAGTTGCTGTGGCTACTCAAGAGTCTTCCTTTATGATGTAAAATGTCCTCTTGAGACCACATTTTGAGAAGTGCTGTTTTCAGACTTCAAGCAACATTGCTATGAAACGTAGATAAATGATAGGTGTTGGCTTTCAGTTTTCGCTATGCATGCATCAACATATATTTTACTGATGTTGTCTCCTTACTTAAAAGTAAATCCAGAAATTCACTACATGTTGCTGGAAAAGACGCAGCAAAGCAAGCTAATATATTCAGTAAAGATGGCCTATGGTATCAATATAGTCTGCTACAGGAAAGATGTTTCATTCCTGGAATCCAATGTGAGAATGGCTCATATTCCAATTAAGTTCTTCCACTAGTGCAAACAGATGTGTGAGAGCTGCTATGCAACACATTCAGCCTCTTTCTTGGCATTCTGCAAGTGTTTGCATAGCAGCAGGAACAACTATGCTCCTTCCATTCACAGTTCTTTGGATACTGTCATACAATGGAACAACATTGTCATTCATTTCCTTGTAGTAAAAGAGAGGGCCTCTTTCCAACAGGGCTTCTCTCTATTCAGACCCCTAGTATGTTACAAATGAATGACTGCAGCCAGTAATTGGAAAGCAAATGAAAAACAATAGCGGATGAAGAACAATAGCTGCAGATGTTTTAACTGTTTGGTGCAAGAAGGAAGAGGAAGTTGTACTAGATTTTTTCATCTAAAAGTCAGAGAATTAAAGCCATTATTCATAGCTCTTTATTTATAACTAGCTGTCCCCTGCCACGTGTTGCTGTGGCCCAGTCTGTGTATATGTGTTTTGTGTATATATATATTTGTGCATATGTGTATATATGTATGTTTGCATATATCTGTGTGGTTTTGCGCATGTGTTGTAATGTATTTTTTATTTTTTGGCTTTTAAAGTCTCTTCTGCTGTGTTTTTCAGTGTTTTATGAGTGATGGTCACTCGTTGGCCTGGTAGGCGTATTGTGTCCAAATATGTCAATTCGTCCAGTGGTTTTTGAGTTATGTTAATCCCACAAACGAACATTACATTTTTATTTATATCAATAATAATAATAATAGTAGTAGTAGTAGTAGTAGTAGTAGTAGTTAATAATAATTGTTAAAAAACAAAGTATGGATTGTCGATGTTGCAATCCCAGGTGACAGCAGGATTGAAGAGAAACAACTGGAAAAGCTGACACGATATGAGGATTTAAAAATCAAACTGCAAAGACTCTGGCACAAGCCAGTCAAGGTGGTCCCAGTGGTGATCGGCACACTTGGTGCAGTGCCTAAAGACCTTGGCCTGCACTTAAACACAATTGGCACTGACAAAATTACCATCTGCCAGCTGCAAAAGGCCACACTGGGATCTGCACGCATTATTCACCAATACATCACACAGTCCTAGACACTTGGGAAGTGTCCAATGTGTGATCCAATACAACAGCCAGCAGAGTGTCTGCTGTGGACTCATCTTGTTGTGTTTCAAATTAATAATAATAATAATGTATAGCCCACCACCATCTCTCCAAGGGAACTTGGGGCAGCTAACATGAGGCCAAACCCAAAAATTGCAATAAAACAAAATGAAATACATACAGCAGATAATAACATCAAATAAAATACAAACAATAACAAAATAATACAATAGGGTAAGCACAGGATATGAGATAAAATAATAAAAAAATTTAATTTCACTAAGGGATGAGATAAAGTGCATTAAAGGACATTTTGTACTGAGACGGTCATGGTACAGGGATTTGTTGTTCATTCCTCAAAAACACACCAGAACAGCCAGGTTTTTAGGCTTTTCCTAAAGGCTGCTAGAGTGGGTATATTAGATACTTTGTAGTGTGCTTTTGGTGCCTAGCATTGATATCCTTAACTGAAACTTGTTCAGTTATGGGTAACGGAGACCTGTTAATTTATGCAATGATTACCCTATTCACTTCTTTATTCCTTGTAATTTGTTTTTGGATACAGATTTATTGGTTCAAAGATGGGAAGCAAATCTCTAAAAGGAGTGAACACTACAGGATGCAAAGAGAACCTGATGGGACCTGCTCTCTCCACACTACAGCCTCCACCCTGGATGATGATGGGAATTATACCATCATGGCTGCCAACCCACAGGTACACCAAGTCTTGGCTCCAGAATAAACAAGCTCTTGGGCACAGGTCTTTGTAAAGACTCATAGTCTTACTCTAGGGCAACTTAATGAGTGTGTGATGTCATTTTGGAGCAAATAATGCTTAAGGCATTATTTGATTTCACACCAGTTGGGTGGGACCACTGCATGCTGCCAAATTGAGAACAAATTGCCGCTGGTGAACAATTTTCAAAATATTTTTCACTGTGATCTGTTTTTGAGCAACTGCCATTATATTGGCCTTAGGTTAATACTTAATAGAAAAAAAACAAAGTTCATAAATAGAAAAATACTCATGTTGGTTCAGGAGAAAAACAGAATATATCATTGTACAAAGCCATACTAAGACCAAACAAATGCTACAAAGTATGCAAACTCTCAATTTTTCCAAATTTTCTTCATCAGAGTACGTGAATATTTGAAAGGTTAGCAGAGTGTGTACTAACTTGAGTGATCACTGCTTCCTTATACAAACTTTCTTCTTGAATGCCTTTGAGCAGAGTTTTTATATGGAGTTCCACAATAATTGATAGAACACTGTTGATTTTGCAGCTTCCACAATGTCGAACTTCCTATCTGTTATAAGCCACTCAAAGAAGTTTCCACTTCTTTGTGGGTGGGGAGCATTCACACTAAGTGTGGTAGTCATAGGAAATAAGGCATATTTTACTACTTGATGTGAAGTGCAGAGGAAGACTTCAGTAGAAGGCAACAGAAGAAGCAATTTTGTTTTGTCACAGATTGGCCTTTATTCTATTTTAGTCCTGACAAGAGGAGAGCCACTTAATCAATTAGATTTATGCAAAGATTTTCCCCTGACATTGTGTCCGACTCTGGGGGTTGGTGCTCATCTCCATTTCTAAGCCAAAGAGCTGGTGTTGTCCATAGACAGCTCCAAGGTCATGTGGCCGGCATGATTGTATGGAGCACCATTACCTTCCTGCCGGAGCGAAACCTATTGACCTACTCACATTTGCATGTTTCCGAACTGCTAGGTTGGCAGATGCTGGGGCTGCCAGCAGAAGCTCACACCGCTCCCCAGATTTGAACCTGCGACCTTTTGATCAGCAAGTTAAGCAACTCAGAGGTTTAACCCACTGCACCCACTGTTCTTTCTCCCACCCTGGACCTTCCACAGATATATAAACCCAATTTTCCTAGTTTCCAACAAACCTCACAACCCCTGAGGATGCTTGCCACAGATGCAGGCGAAATGTCAGGAGAGAACACTTCTAGAACATGGCCATACAGCCCAAAAAACCTACAGCAACCCAGTGATTCGACAATACATTTTCGAAACATTGTTCCAACCCTGGACTGGAAACAAGCCAACATTTATTGCAACTAAAGCAAGAGTAACCTAGCCTTATTTGTGCTTATCTGGAAGGAAGTATAACTCAGTACACATTCCTCTGCTGTAAAAGACTAAAGGACTGCAGCCCAAGTATACCCGTTGACACCTCACTTTTCACTCATCCATCTCTGCAGCCTTAGACAAATACACTCACACACACAATAATCTGATGAATGAAAGACTGTGGTGTGTACCACCTAAAATCTTGCCAGACCCAAAATTGCAAATAGGGTTATGTTTAGAAATAATGAGCTCTATTGCTAAGGCACAGCTTATCCTCCCTAAGAGTGTTGTGGTCTGTTATGAATGTTGCTAGGCTACTCAACCATAATGGTTCCATTTCTCCAAGACTCCAGAGCTCTCAATGCCTTTTATTGCAAGACGCAAAAAATGCAGAAAGCCTGTCTTGGTATCAGAAAGAAACACAAAATAATGAGATATAAATGTTGTTCCTACATGCAATTGATAACATGGACACATTACCTATATAAATCTCACAGTAGTACTTTCTAAACAAAGGAGCCCCCAGTGGCGCAATGGGTTAAACCCTTGTGCCGGCAGGACTGAAGACCAACAGGTCGCAAGTTCAAATCCAGAGAATGCAAATGAGCTCCCTCTGTCAGCTCCAGCTCCCCATGCGGGGATACTCTTTTGCTGCAAGAAACAGTGTCAGTTTTCATTCAGTGTTTTTCCATTTTATAATCAGACTTTCAAGCTCCTTCTGTTCTGCTCTCATCACAAACATGGTATCAGAAGCTTTTGTTTGTACTTTAAAACTAATCAGAGTACCTCTGGTTAGTTTAAAAATGAAAAATGCTGGTGAATTTAAATTATGCCTTGTGAACCAGCCAGGATATTAAGCCATGTTTTACAAATAATGACTTCATATGATGAGTTAAAGGTCAGATCAAATCATGGTTTGTGATACTGGTTTATTGCCGAACCTAGGTTGGCAAAAAATACTAACATAGTTTAGCTTAAGTCTTAGTTTTCTGGAAGGAGCCCCTGGTGCCACAATGGGTTAAACGCTGGTGTTGGCAGGACTGCTGACCAACAGGTTGACGGTTCAAATCGGAGGAGCGGGGTGAGCTTCTGTCTCGGCTCTACTTTCCCATCCAGGGACATGACAGAAGCATCCCAAAGGATGGTAAAAACATAAAAAACCCAGGCGTTCCCTGGGCAATGTCCTTGCAGGCACCCAATTCTCTCACACCAGTAACAACTTGCAGTTTCTCAAGTTGCTCCTGACACACACAAAAAGTTCTCCGGAAACTAAACCTTAGAATAAAGGCCATTTCAACCCTTTAGAATGGAAGACAAATTCTGTACAAAAGTTGAGATACCATCAAACAGTAATCTTGTAGGGATATGAAGTGGGATTTAATTAGGCTTGAGGTTCTCAATCCTTGGCTTAAAGTTTAACCATCCTTGAGTTGGTTAAACACAGAAGTGAAGAAGAATCTTGTAAGAGGAAGAGTTGGGACAAGACAACACATTAACTAGAGGCACCAATTATATTTTGGTGTAAGGGATGGAATTAATATTTGAGCAGGGGAGGGGCTGAAAAATATTTTAAAAATGAATGTCAACTTGAGGAGAAGAATCCTAAACTGATGGGAATCTTCACAGTTTGAGACTTACTTTGAACAAAATCACATTATAGCGTTTTCGGCCATTTTAGACATAAATTTAAACACGGTCAAATCTTCCTCAAAGTAAGTCTCGAAGAGTGAATTGCAACAGGAAGAAAACTGCTAAAATTATTCTACTTTCATAAAGAAAAAAGTGAATGCCTTATAAAGTCATGACTAAGTTGAAGTTGTGTAAGCCCAACTCTTGTAACTCAAGGATGGGCTTTTTGGGCCAAAACTTTGAATATTTTTGTCTTGCTTTTGAGGTTCCACAATTAGCAAAGTTTTAAAAGATATATATACTTTTAAATGTGTCCTTTTATGAATTGTTTCTAAAAGGCTGTGTTAGTCAACATATCAGTTTACTTCCACCTTCATTGAAACACTTTCTTGTATTCCTAGGTCACACATCTGTATTAACTCTGAGAGCTATCATCATACTTCCTTTAGTGTTTAGGATTACAATGCATGCTTATTTTCATTTGATAGTGATGTAACACAGTTGGAATCTACATATTCTGGTGTGAAAACCTTTGCATTAATCCACCGGTGCCCTTAGTATCTAATATACTGTTAAAAGCACAGTGGAACAACGTTAATGCCAGGAGACATAATTATGTTTATTTGGAAATGATACAATGATGAGAGAATATGAATGACAGTTGAACCAAGTAAATACTCTTCTTTGTTGCATAAAATAAACTTCCAGATTCACATCCAGAGATCTTTGGTTGTTTTCCAAAGGAAATACATAAATCATGTATTCTTTGACCCATAGCCAGAGAGAAATTAAAGCAGAGTGATTTTAATTTTAAAAGAGCATTGCTTTAGGTTGTTGCTTAAAGGAATAACTGGTGATGAAGGCTCATAGAGTGCATGCAGTGCGTGCAAAAGGTCCCATCTTCAATCCCTGATATCTCCAGATAAGGCTGGAAAAAAGCATGCTGAAAGACCAAAATGTGGACTAGATGGTGTAATGATCTGGTTCTGTATAAAGATGCCTCCTATGCACTAAAGCAGGCCTGCACAACCTGTGGCCCTCCAGGTGACTGGGACTCCAACTCCCATAAGCCCCCAGCCAGCTTCTCCAATGGTCAGGAATTCTGGAAATTGGCGTCCAAAACAGCTGGAGAGCCATGGGTTGTGCAGTCCTACTCTAAACTCTGCAATCCTACACAGACGTACCAGATGTGAATACCACAAAACTCAACAGGATTGCCTCCTGAGTAGGTATGCTTCATATGTTTGGGTTGATCTTTGTTGCAGCTTCATATATGGCCATCTGCAACCATCTGGTCTATATTCAGATTTTCATTATTCTAAATTTAAACCAGAGAGCAGGATATGCCTTCACGTTCCAGATCATGTGCAATGAAGTTCCACCAAAATGAGAGAGAAGCCAGAACTGGGTGCAGACAACATCCAAAAAAGAGTATGTGAGGCTGTGTTTCAGTTAATGTTTTACACAATGTTAACTGCAGTTCTATCATCCCATGCTTGGCACCGCCCTTTTCACCCCAAAGGAGACTCAGGGCGGATCACAGTACACATACACAGCAAACATTCAATGCTGCTTTGTATAGACAACACACAGACAGACAGTACAGAACAGGAGGTGCCATGGAAGGTTGGCCTTGAGTCCAGGTGGTGCTATTGCTCTATCCTCTATGAGAAAGAGCCGTCAGGACTTCCTCCTTCCTTTTGGTCACCCAGCATTTTCTGATATTTTTTGTTTATGGTGTCGTAAAACACCTCCCCCACTTTTAGCGGTATCTAATTTCTCTTGTAAATTGTCTTTTCTATGTTTTTGTACACCGCCGCGAGTCGCCCATTAGGGCTGAGAGCGGCGGTTAACAAGTGCAAGTAATAAATAAATAAATAAATAAATAATCACAGCTAAAGCTGTTTTCAAATTGCTTAGGTAAACAATGAGCTAGACTGACAGTTGGCAGCTCACGCCAACCCGGGACTTCAAACTTGCAACCTTTTGGTTGATAGATCTTATAATTGCTGATGATTTGCCAGCTGTGCTAAACCTCCGGCCCAAATGCACAAGTCTAGTGTTAGGGCACTTGCTAGGTCCATATCCAAGCAGTATTATCCAGACTGCTAGTGGTCCCTTCCATGCTAGTGGTGTCTACTTACCTGTCCTCAATGTCAACAAGCAGGGAAAGGAGCATCAGCTGCTAGTCAGCTTGTCTTCTCCCTGTGGGTGATGCAGATTAGGTTCAGGAGTGTGTGAAAGAGAGGTGCCATTTTGACTGTCTTGCCTAGGCATTGCCTAAGTTGGGAAGTGTCACTAGTGCCTGTTGTGCACCAGGGATAGGCATATTGCAAACCTCTCATTCTGTTACTTCTTCCAGTTTTGGGCCGTTTGTGAAATCTCTGGAGAGTTCCAGGGTGGAAAATTGACACCCAATGCTACCACTGCTCTGCATCCTCATTACCTTTCTTATGCTGTGTTTGAATAGAATCGTAGAATTAGAAGAGATCACATGGGCCATCCAGTCCAACCCCCTGCCATGCAGAAAAAGCACAAAGTACCCCTGACAGATAGCCATCCAGCCTGTTTAAAAGCCTCCAAGGAAGGTGCTTCCACCACACTCTGAGGCAGAGAATACTCATTAAGTAGGCAGCTTACTGACTTTACATTGAGTCTCTGAGTTATTTGAGATCTCTGTTGATGGCCTCTCCCCCCCTCCCAAAAAAAAAAAACAACCTCTGAAACTTTATAGAAAGTGTAACTGCTTTGAGTCTCTTTTGTGGAGAGAAAAGACAGGGTATAAATAAATAATAAGAATAATGATGATGTCATGAATATAGATGTAAATGCAATGAAAACTGGTTAGTGTATATTCCGTTTCTTAAAATATGCATTAAGTGTTGAGAGTCACTTCTGGGTGATATTTTTTTAAATGTGTAATTTCTCTCCCCCTCCCCCATGATCCATAGGGCCGAGTAAGCTGTACAGGAAGACTAATGGTCCAGGCTGTCAACCAGAGAGGACGCAGCCCCCGAACACCACCTAACCAGCCTCACACCAGAAGGTACCACTGTCATCAATGAATGTTTACTCAAGATGTTGAGATATGTTTGTGACTCCACTACTAGCAGAAAAAAACCTTTCCACTTCATTTCTCATAATTCTTGCTTTGATGCGATTATTCTCTCAGGCTATTGGCTGTTGTTGATATTATTTTATGTTGTTTATGATACTGCTTTTATACATTTTACTTTTGTTACGTTTTTATGTTTTAATCCAGTGTTTCTCAACCTTCCTAATGCTGTGACCCCTTATTACAGTTCCTCACGTTGTGGTAACCCCCATCTGTAACATTATTTTCATTGCTACTTCATAACTGTAATTTTGCTACTGTTATGAATTGTAATGTAAATATCTGATAAGCAGGATGTATTTTCATTCACTGGACCAAATTTGGTACAAATTCCCAATACGCCCAAATTTAATACTGGTGGGATGGGGGGATTGATTTTGTCATTTGGGAGTTGTAGTTGCTGGGATTTATAGTTCACCTACAATCAGAACTCCTCCAACAATGGAAATGCACATCGCTTGGCACACAGAAGTTCCATGACCAACAGAAAATACTGGAAGGGTTTGGTGGGCATTGACCTTGAGTTTTGGAGTTGTAGTTCACCTACATTCTGAGAGCCCTGTGGACTCAAACAATGATGGATCTGGATCAAACTTGACACAAATACTTGTGCCCAAATGTCAGCACTGGTGGAGTTTGGGGCAAATAGACCTTGACATTTGGGAGTTGTAGTTGCTGGGATTTATAGTTCACCTACAATCAAAGACCCCCACCAATGGCAGAATTGGGCCAAACTTCCCACACAGAACCCCCATGACCAACAGAAAATATTGTGTTTTCTGATGGTTTTTGGCAACCCCTTTGACACCCCCCTCGTGACCCCCTTCCAGGGGTCCCAACCCCCAGGTTGAGAAACACTATTTTAATCTATGTTTGACCTGACTAGTCCCCATGTAAGCCGCCCTGAGTCCCTTCGGGGTGATGGTGGCAGGATACAAAGCTAAAGTTATTGTTATTATTATTGATTGCCACAATTATTAACCCAGTGAGCAGTTCTTAATAGTAAGATTTGTGTTTTGGTTGTTTCATCTTGTATATTTAGGTAGGGCCTAAATGTTTCTTTCTTTTGTTGATTGTTCAGAAAATTCAGTGCTCAAAGAATATTGCATAAAAAGTCTTGTTGAAACAGATTATCTATTTGCTTTTGAAAATAAGGATACTTTTAAAGTTTTTACAATATTTATGGTCTGCCTGCCTGTATGTTTATATTTATGACCCTTCAGATAGCTTACAATAACAAGAGTAAAAGCATAAAACTAGAATAATGGAGGGTTGGGTTTGTTTGTTTGTTTGTTTTGGAGAACATAAAAGTAACAGACAAAATGACAAGTTAATAGCCTTTTAAAAATACAAATTGAAGACTAATACAAAATACAATTAAATATATATCTAATGTTATTACAAACGATTTAAGATATGGGAGGAACCAAGTAAAAGTCCCAAATAGATTTACTTTTAGAAATACAACTCTCAGAAACCCTAGCCAGCAGATCACTGCCATGCTGGTTGGGATATTCCGTTGGCTGTCATTTCTCCAAAGAATATATCCAGGCCCTCTGCAGCAGCTGTGTTTTACTTATGCTCATGTGCTAAATATAGAAAATATAAAATAAGAAGTATAGTCCCTAGACATTTTACATGGTTAAATGAATATAGCACATATTAATAGAAATCATTTGCTGCATAAAGTAGAAATACCCTTAAGCAATCTTGTCCAGGAGTTAATTAGAGGAGGCATTCTGATGCTGTCTGTCTTTCCACCTACATGTGGTCAATTTATTTATTTCGTGTCAATAGCATTGCATGCTTAAGTATAAAATGGATAAAAATAGAAGGAGCACAAGTGACTAAATAATTTTTGACAAAAACCAGGCAACAGCAACCGCATTGTCTATAACTTTAAACAAATCTTCCTCTGTGCATGAGGCAGGGCATTGTGGACAAACATACACCCGTAGAGTTGTTTGTTCTGTTCCACAGTCACACAACGTGGAGGATTCTTCTAAGTAGTTCCATTTTGCCAGGTAGTATTTTGATCTGCCCACTCCACTTCAGAGTTTGTTCAGGGATCCTCCAAGTTGACAACATTCTATCAATAATCAAGCTATTGTTACCCTTCTGATGCTGGGTACTCTTTGCAGGTTATTGCTGCTACTGTTGTTATTATTTCATGTCAGAAGCATTGCATAAATAAGTATAAAACTGATAAAATTGATAAAATAAAACAAAACCAGGCAACAGTGGCAGCATTGTCTGTAGCTTTAAACAATTCTTCCTCTGTGTATGAAGCAGGGCATTGTGGACAAGCATACAGGTGTGGAGTTGTTTGCTTTGCTCCACAGTTGCACAAGGTGGGGGATTGTTTTAAGTAGTTCAATTTGGCCAAGTAATCTTTCGATCTGCCCACTCCACTTCTGAGTCTGTTCAGGGACTTCCAAGTTGCCCATTCTTGTTTTGCCCCTGGAAGAAGTCCCTCATGCGGGACCATCCAATTAGGATTTCCCGGTTTAGCTGCCAGAGGGTTGCTCTTGCTGTTGCTGGGGGAACATTAGGAGTGGTGGTTCTCATGAAGCTTTTCCTTGATTTGAGTCTACTGGGAGGAGGCTGATAGCCATGCAGTGGATGGCTTTCACAGTGCCCAACCTTATTTCTCTCACAGTTAGCAGCAACTTCCTGTCACACATTTTTGGGGGGAGAGGGAGGCAATGCTAGTTAGCTTGTAGAGCAGTGGTTCTCAACCTGGGGTCCCCAGATGTTTTTGGCCTTCAACTCCCAGAAACTCTTACAGCTGGTAAACTGGCTGAGATTTCTGGGAGTTGTAGGCCAAAAACATGTGGGGACCCCAGGTTGAGAATCACTGTTGTAGAGTCTATTAACAGATGAGGTTTGAGACATCCTGTGATTATTCTGCATGTTTTGTTCAGTACTATGTTCACCTGCTTCACGTGGGCAGACTTATGCCAAACAGGACAAGCATACTCAGCAGTTGCATAAGACAAGGCCAGGGCTGATGTTCTTACTAATTTTGGGTCTGCTCCCCATGCGCTGCCAGTAAGTTTCCGCAGGATAATGCATGCAGTTACTTCCACAGGATGATGCATGCAGCTACTTTGTGCTTGGTGTTCATGCAGTGTCATCAAATTAAAGCATGTTCAGGCCTAGATGGGGCTGGGAACCATGGAATTGATTTCAGATCCGCCTTTTATGGATAGAAAAGTTATTTTCACAGAATGTATATCTCTTTCTGCACCAGAGTTCACTCCATTTATTGATATTCTTAATCCATTCTATAGCATTTTCAGCAGTGTTTTAGCATAGTGAAGGTAGGACAGGAAAGTCTGCTTCCGCCATTCTTATTGCACAGTCTGAATCTATGTTCTGTGAATTTGCCATAAACATTGGGTATGGTTTCAATTAAAAGCTTTTCCGTAGTGCTGTCTCTGCTGTAGAAAGTAAAGAACGTAAAAGAAGTGAATGTAAGAACATAAAAATAACATGAAAGCATATGAGTTCAGGCTGACTTGTTTTCAAACATCACAAAAATGAAAAATGGAAGTGGTTGTGATAAAGAAAGGAAAAGTGGAAAAACGGAGACGGATGACCTGAGCATGATCCAACGTGAGCAAAGCATTTTTGAGTTCCATCCATTTTTGATAAAAACAATCAGCATATGCTTAAATCTTTCCCACTGAAACCAAATGGAGTCAATAAATTTGGCAGGATGGTGCCCAATGTATTATGTGGACGGGCGGTGGTGGGGTTACAACTATGTGACACATTTTTGGCCTAGAGAAATATTCATTTAGCTAGATCATTCCAATGCTTTTCTGGTTTTCTTGCAGGGCACATGACTGTGTGTGCATGTGTGAAACATATCCGAAATTAATTGGAACATGATGGCGTTGCTAACATCTGGCACTTCATATATTTTCAAGTTTCTGTCAGCACTCAGTTTTGAATGTGTGTATAATAGAGCAAACCTTATGTGGCTCATAAACAGGGAGCTTCAATTTAAATTTATGTTCTTCTAGCCATGTAGAAATTGCTTTATGCTTCCTCACATCTTACTTGTTTTATACAGTGGTATTGTAATTGAGCTCTTCTCTCCCATATCGCCCCCCAGCCATGTTCTCTTAAAAGCCAAGAATTTGCTTAGGGTATAGAAATAAATCCCGCTCATTTTAGGCCAATTTAAAATCTACTTTGAAATTCAGGAAAAATAGGTACTAGGAGGTGAAGGAGAGGAATGTTGTACAAAATCTGTTCTTCTGCAGAATGATCTTTGGTTATATACCACTGCTTATGCTTGCTTCTTATACACCTTGGGATTCTAGTTTAGAATGGAAACTTTGGGTATAATGTCAATTAGAGGTATGCAATTCGGCCAAAAGGCATGCCGTTTCAGGGGCCATTGTTGGCTGACCCTTCATTCTGTTTACCAGAAAGTTACTCAAATGGGTGGGGTGTTGTATAATTCAGCAAAGATTTGGCCCACTGGATATTTTAAAGGCTCAGTCCCCAATCATTTTAAGGCCTATCTGCATGAAACGTAGCTCGGTTTTAGACCCCATTTACAACTGCAGGCCTGCCAAGTTTCAAAACAATTCGCCAATCTATTGATTTTTTTATAATTATTTTAAGTTTTAACCATAACATTTTTTAAAAATAAGACAAACCACAAGAGAGGGTTCAGGGAATTGTAGTCGCTGGGTTATTTGAAGCCATTCCATGTGCATGGGTAGTGGTGGTATGTGGATATTTTTCAGCTGAGGATATTGACTTTAAAAATGGAGTGGGGTCCAGGTTCATTGGGGGATCACAAAATAGGGTTTTTGTGACTTAGCAATAAGGGTGTGGCCTTAGGATGTCTTGAAGTAATGGATTCTATTGACGTAATTTATGTATGTGAATCATTAGGAATCACCATGCAGTAGTGGTTTGGGCATTGAACTAGGACTCTGGTGAACACTTTGAATCTCTGCTCAGCTATGGAAAACCACCGGGTGACCTTGGGCAACTCATACTCTCTTTGTGTTAGATCAGGGGTCCTCAAACTAAGGCCCGGGGGCCGGATGCTGCCCTCCAAGGTCATTTACCCGGCCCTCGCTCAGGGTCAACCTAAGTCTGAAACGACTTGAAAGCACACAACAACAATGACAACAATCCTATCTCATCAGCCAAAAGCAGGCCCATACTTCCCATTGAGATACTTTATATTTATATTTATAAGTTTATATTTGTTAAATTGTTCTTCATTTTAATTATTGTATTGTTTTTAAGTGATTTTTGCACTACAAATAAGATATGTGGTATGCATAGGAATTCATTCATGTTTTTTTCAAATTATAATCCGGCCCTCCAACAGTTTGAGGGACTGTGACCTGGCCCTCTGTTTAAAAAGTTTGTGGACCCCTGTGTTAGATAAAAGCAAGGAAAAACCCCTTCTGAACAAATTTTAGCAAGAAATCCCTGTGCCCCCGGTGGTGCAATGGATTAAACCCTTTGTGACAACAGGACTGCTGACGGAAAGGTCGGCAGTTCAAATCCAGAGAGTAGGGTGAGCTCCCATCTGTCAGCTCCAGCTTCTCATGCAGGGACATGAGAGAAGCATCCCACAGGATGGTAAAACTTCTGGGTGTCCCCTGTGCAACATCCTTGCAGACGGCCAATTCTCTCACATCAGAAGTGACCTGCAGTTTCTCAAGTCGCTCCTGACATTGGGGGGGGGGGGGGGAACAGTCTACCATGATAGTTGTGCACAACTAAATTGGGAACCGTATGTCAACTTTTATTATATACTGCCTGGCAATTTTATATAGAGCTGGGGCATTGCAAAAGCTTAATGTTACTTTCTGAGCTATCATATAAATATCCTATCTTGCATCTAAACAGGATTTGTTTACTTGGTATATTTTCAACAGGCCTCGTTCTCGATCAAGGGATAGTGGAGATGAAAATGAACCAATCCAGGAACGCTTCTTCCGACCTCATTTTCTGCAGGCCCCTGGAGACCTGATAGTTCAAGAAGGAAAACTTTGTAGAATGGACTGCAAGGTATATATTTTATCTTTTAGAATTATTAATTCAACATTCAGTGTAGGTGATAATCAGTGCAGGTGATATTCCAACAGATGGTATAATCGTGGTATTCTTTGTTTATTGTTAATTATATGAGGAGAGTTTTGGAAGGTAGAGGATGGGCCTAATAGCAAACTTATTCATATTTCATTATTTTATTTTAAATCTGTCGTATTCAAGAATTCTTGGGTTGCAAATTGACTATTGAATTAATTGCTGGCTGGATCATGTACAGGTTGAGTTTCAGTTTGTAGCATTTGAAAGCCAGACACTGAACCAATACTGAATTCGAGATGTGTGATATGTTATTTCATGGAAAAATAACGTTGTATGTGGACAATTTCATCGGAAAGGAGGAATCCATGAAAATGAACAAAATCTGGCTAGCAGTATTTTTTTTAAAAAACCCTCTAAAATAAATAAAGAGCAACACTAAAAAAAATAAGGGGAAATTCCAGACAAGAATCAATCAGAGCCAGCTAACACCTCCCAACAAAGGATTCCCCCAGGCAGCAACCAGCCAGGCTTTGAAGCTGTAAGGCCATTAAATGCTAATCAAGATAGCCATTTGCAACATTCACACTTGCCTCAAGCAGACAAGAGTTTGTTCTCCCACCCTGGACATTCAACAAATATATAAACCTCACTTGCCTAGTTTCCAACAGACCCCTCAACCTCTGAAGATGCCTGCCATAGATGTAGGTGAAACATCAGGAGAGAATGCTTCAGGAACATGGCCATACAGCTCAGAAAACTCACAGAACCTCAATGATTCCGGCCATGAAAGCCTTCAACAACACTTTTTAAAAGTTAGCTATTAAGTGATATTCTGGAAACAAAGTTCATTCACAAAACACAAGCTCCCTCTAGTGGTTTTCCAATCATGGATTTCTGGAAACAGTGCCTCAGACTGTATTTCCTTCAAAGAGTGGAACTGGGTATACAAAAATACCTGCAGAGTGCACCAATGGAAAAAACTGAGGAGACTCCACATGCCTAGGAGAAGTGCATAAAGAAAAGTTTCAAAAAATGAATAGGGTGCTTTTCCGTCCTTCTCTGCTATTTCAACAAAATCTGGAAAGGAATAAAACATTAAACAAACCAGACAGGGAACTGTTGAACAGCTGACTAGAATTAGAATTAGGAGCCCCCGGTGGATTAAACCACTGAGCTGCTGAGCTTGTTAACCGAAAGGTCACAGGTTCAAATCTGGGGAGCAGGGTAAGCTTCCGCTGTCAGCCCCAGCTTCTGCCAACCTAGCAGTTCGAAAACATGCAAATGTGAGTAGATCAATAGGTACCGCTCCAGTGGGAAGGTAACAGTGCTCCATACAGTCATGACTGTGGAGGTGTCTATGGAACAACACTGACTCTTCGGCTTAGAAATGGAGATGAGCACCAACCCCCAGAGTCGGTCATGACTAGACTTAATGTCAAGGGAAAACTTTTACCTAGAATTTGTTTTGAACCTATACTCCATCGTGTGATTGTATTGATAAAGGAAGATTTGCATTTATAGAAACAGTTTATCGAGTAACTGGTTGTGTTGTAATATTATTTGTGTAATGGAGAGCACAGCAGAGCTTTGTTCCACTTGTATAACACTGGATGCAGGTCCATGATTCCTGATTCAAACATGGTCGGTACAAAAGATAGTGAGACTGAAATGGCTAAAAAAGCCAATGGGATTTTGTCCTGCATAAATAGGAGTATAGTGTCTCGATCCAGGGAAGTCATGCTACCCCTCTATTCTGCCTTGGTCAGAACACACCTGGAATACTGCGTCCAATTCTGGGCACCACAGTTGAAGGGAGATGTTGACAAGCTGGAATGTGTCCAGAGGAGGGCAACTAAAATGATCAAGGGTCTGGAGAACAAGGCCTATGAGGAGTGGCTTGAAGAGCTGGTCATGTTAAGCCTGCAGAAGAGAAGGCTGAGAGGAGACGTGATGCCCATGCATAAATATGTATGGGGAAATCATAGGAGGGCGCAAGCTTGTTTTCTGCTGCCCTGGAGTCTAGGACACAGAACAATGGCTTCAGACTACAGGAAAGGAGATTCCACCTGAACATTAGGAAGAAATTCCTAATCGTGAGAGCTGTCCAGCAGTGGAACTCTGTGCCCCAGAGTACGGTGGAAGCTCCTTCTTTGGAGGCTTTTAAGCAGAGGTTGGATGGCCATCTGTTGGGGGTGCTTTGAATGCAATTTTCCTGCTTCTTGGCAGGGGGCTGGACTGGGTGGCCCATGAGGCCTCTTCCAACTCTATGATTCTATGATTTTTTTCTTCCTTCAGGCTACATAAAAGAAAAGTGGACACTTGAGTTTGAGATCTTACTCAATCTCATAAAAGTTTGCATATGTAATACAAAATTATCGTTTCGTGTTATGTGTGAAACCAGATCTGTAGGTTAGAAACCTGTTCTTGGGCAAATATATTCTGTTTGTCTTCCTTTCATTATAAGTGCACAGTATTTGCAAACACAGTACATTTATAATATGACATCTCTCGTTCAGTGTGATTCAAAATAATTTTGTCCTGCTCTACTACATTTGACTAAAGGGAGTATTGTCATTAAATGGTTGATGTCACCCATTATATTACTTGACATATCAAATAAAACATGGTCATTTTATGCCCATAAATTTAGACTATTTTACAATGTCATCAGGATAGACAAACTTAAAACCTAACATAAATAAATGGCTCGGCAGCTTCTTCTGATGCCCCCTTGTGAAATGCACAAGCCATCCCCTTGAAAAGCTGACTTAATCCCATGTTTGTTGACATTATGTTTTAACCAAAGTATTAGATCACCCCACTTGAGCCATATGTACAGGTGGAGAATGCCAAACTGATATAGAAAGTAGCTCTTTGATGGGATATATTTGAAAGGAAAGAAATTATGTTGTCAATCTTGTCTGTTGGAGCTAGGTGTGAATGTTTCAATTGGCCACCTTGATTAGCATTCGATGGCCTGACAGTTTTTAGGTGTGGCTTGTTAATGTCTGAGGGATCCTTTGTTGAGAGGTGGTTAGCTATCCGATTGTTTCTTGTCTGGAGTTCCCTTGTGTTTGAGTGTTGTTTTATTGTTATAATTTTAGAGTTTTTAATATTGGTAGCCAGGCACTAATAAGCCACAATTAAAAACTGTGGGGCCATCAAATGCTAATCAAGGTGGCCAATTGAAACATTCACACCTGCCTCCAACAGACAAGAGTTCTTTCTCCCACCCTGGACCTTCCACAGATATATAAACCTAATTTTCCTAGTTTCCAACAGACCTCACAACCTCTGAGGATGCCTGTCATAGATGCAGAGAAGAATGCTTCTAGAACATGGCCATATAGCCTGAAAAACCTACAACAACCCCTATGTTAAATCTGTACCTCTATGCAAAGAGAAAGAAGTCCAGCTGTGGAAGAAGAAAGCCAAGATCAGATGTTCCTTCTCAGGCCACTGGGGAAACATATAGTATAGGTGTTTCCCACTTCCTCAGTATCTAGACTCCAACATTGTGGATGGAAGGCATTCTGGGGAGGTCTTTCGGGTGGCCTGTAAGACACTATAGGTGCGGAAGGTCTACATCTCTCTAGATTCCTGGAAATGCTCATTGACAATTCTCAGCCTTGGAATGAATTCCTTTCCATTGTTTCAGTGACAGAAAGTCTTGTCAAAGAAGCAAAAGTCCAACTGGGTGGCCAAAATTAGTGCAAATGTCTGTCCTGCTCATTTGAACCCAGGGGTTCTTTATTCACCTTAGCATCTTTAGCCTTCCAAAGGTCTAAACTGAAAATAATGAAATTGGACAGGTGAAGTCCTGGATCAGAAGATCTATATGCATCATGTTGCTACATTTCTCGATGCCAGTGCAAAACATTCACATTATAAGCAACATTGCCCTTGTCACCATTGCAAATCTCATGTTTTCAGACAGTAGAAGAATGAGCAGGGATACATCCAGCAGTTTTCCTATAACTGGACACACCGCGACAGGCATCTGCAGAGATCCCCAGGCATCCTTGAATGTTTTTGCTGATGATATCTTGCCTTCATGTCCAGTTACAGGAAAGCCACTGGATACTTACAAATTTCCCTATTTTTCTTGCATGGAAATGGCCCTGTTTGGAGTTGAAAGGTATATTTGGGAGGAATTTTGGTTGTTGCATGGTCAGAACAGAATTCCAACTTTTGCCGCAACTATAAAAATTAGTTGTAATCATGAAACTCCAGTGTATGCTATCACAATTAGCTAAAAGGATATCAGTCAAAGAGGGTTCAGGCGTCTGCAACTTTTCTGAGCGGTTTTTTAGCGTTGCTAAAAAAAACTCCCCACCCACTGCCCCAAGTGGCAACTCTTACTAATAATGATGCAAATCTTTCAGCAAGCTGAGCTTGATTCAAACATTCTTAATAAGTAATGTAACAAGTGATGAATGGTATATTGCTAGAATGGAATTTGAACTTTACCGAATGATTTTCAATTCAACCCTCCTTTAATAGGAAGAATTCTTTTATCACGTTAGGCTTAATGTCGTTGCTAAGAAGAAAAGACTAGTGAAAGGTAATAATCAAATACAAAACTGTAAGGAGATGACAGAAAACATGTTAAATATTCTCATTTTATGTTTTAGGAGCCCCTGGTGGCACATTGGATTAAACCCTTGTGCCAGCAGAACTGAAGACCAACAAGTCGGAGGTTCAAATCCAGAGAAAGCCTGGATGAGCTCCCTCTGTCAGCTCCAGCTCCCATGCAGGGACATGAGAGAAGCCTCCCACAAGGATGTTAAAACATAAAAAACATCTGGGCATCCCCTGGGCCACATCCTTGCAGACGGCCAATTCTCTCACACCAGAAGCGACTTGCAATTTCTCAAGTTGCTCCTGACATGGGATGTGTCGTGACAATTACTATTATGATGGAAACTGAAATAGAACTTGCCTCACCATTTTGATCCAAAGCATGAGAATCTACACATTTTTGGACTATGACTCTCAGAATGCTACAGCCAACATTCTGGGAGATACCGATCCAAAAAATTAACTTTCCAAACTCTGCTGTTCTGTCAGATATATATGAAAAAAACAATGACAGACTTGGATGTCTTTATGATCTTTTGAGATAATGAAAACTCAACACAAATGCTGATATCTTTTCTGCAATCTCTCTGACTCACTGGACTCTTTACTGGTTTTTTTTTTTTAAGGTCAGTGGCTTGCCAACCCCAGATATCAGCTGGCAACTCAATGGAAGAGTAATACGTTCTGATTCCTCCCACAAAATGCTTGTGCGTGAAAATGGTGTACACTCCCTGATAATAGAGCCGGTCACAGCAAGGGATGCGGGCATTTATACATGTGTGGCTACTAATCGAGCTGGTCAGAACACATTCAGCCTGGAACTAATTGTTGCAGGTAAGTTTGAAGTGCATGGTCCATGACCACACAAGAAAGAGGCATTTATTCTGTTGTGGTTGTTTTTAATCTCCTTGGAAATTTAGATCACATGGCTTTCTTTATTTACTGTTGTTTTAGATGCGTCTTTGGCCATTCCTTTTATTCCCCTATGTTCTTTTAAGAGTATTATGCCCATTACACTATTTGGTTTTAGAAACGCCAGGCAATAAATCCTTAAGAGATAGTTTTCAGGAATGAATCTATGTATTTCATAATCTCATGCTTGGGAATTATACAACACTTTTTCTAATTGCTTAATGCACATCACATCCAGTCTCCTGAAATCTTGGAATTATTAACTGGGTATGACTAAATCTGTATTATGAAGGATACTAGTTAAATGGTGGCCTTGAGAGATGGTGGTACTTAATGGATGATCTGGAGTCTGGGACATGCATATGCAGACCAGGATTCCAGATCCGTCACTCTCAACAAACCAGAATTGTGAGTTCAGAGTTTAAAGTTATTTTTCCATTCCTTATTATCTCATTAGAGGGGGAAGGCATGAGTTCTTGTACAACAGGAAGCTTTTTTTTCCATGTTAGTTTCCGGTTAATTTAATATATTGTCCAAGGCTTTTATTATTTATTTATTTATTTACGACATTTATATGCCGCCCTTCTCACCCCGAAGGGGACTCAGAGCGGCTTACAAGTCATAAGTACATACAACATACAACATACAACATACTACATAATACATAACTAGCATAGTACTATTACATCATTCATAACACTAGTACTACATAATATTACATTATTGCTAGGGGAGGGGCGCTGATGTCACAAGGGACAAGAGGGCAATGTCCTCCCGGCTCCCCTTCTTTATTCTGGCCCCAGAGTGGCCGTTGGTGCTGGGGGAGTTGTGTTTTCCGGGCTGTATGGCCATGTTCCAGAAGCATTCTCTCCTGACGTTTTGCCTGCATCTATGGCAGGTATCCTCAGAGGTTGTCAGATCTGTTGGAAACTAGGAAAATTTGGTTTATATATCTGTGGAATGTCCAGGGTGGAGAAATAACTCTTGTCTGTTTGAAGTCGGTGTGAATGTAGCAACTGCCCACCTTGATTAGCATTTGATGGCCTATCAGTTTTCAAGGCGTAGCTTCTTACTGCCTGGGGGAATCCTTTGTTGGGAGGTGATTAGCTGGCCCGGGTTGTTTCTTGTTTGGAATTCCTCAGTTTTTAAGTATTGTTCTTTATTTATTGTTATGATTTTAGAGTTTTCAAGGTGGCCAATTGCTTCTGGAATATGGCCATACAACCCCAAAAATATACAACAACCCACTGGTTAATTTAGCCAGCTAGCCAAAGAAGCCTGCTGGTTAATATTGAGTGCACAGAGGGCCATGCTTCAGTGAATATTGAGTCAAGAATTCTCATTAGTCCCGACTTATTGTCATATCTGACTATGGCCATTTTGACTTCGATTAGGACACATGGAGAAAAATGTGGCCTGCAGGCAGCAGATATTTCCCAAGACTATTTTGAGGCCTTGTGGGGAACAGCTGAATGTTGTTTGTGAATGAAAGGAATGTTATTTTCTGCTCCTTAAATCCTGCACAAGTAGTAGTTTTGCTTTTCATATAAAATGAACATAGAAAGGGGCAGTCCTTAAAAAAATGAAAGGTAGAATTCTGAAACTGGCAATTGCTGGTTTTTCACATTTGTGGGGTTAGGGTGGATCTCAGGGGGCAGAAAATTAGCTGCTAGATCCTGTGAAGTTGTCCATCCTTGGGCTAGAGCCTGCCTTGGGTCACTTTCTGGACTAGGAAATTTCCTTTTCCAGAGTCAAGAGTTCTCCAAGTAATGCAGTGTAAACTAATATGGGAGCTTTCAATTGTACAATGCTTTTTCCCCCTTTACACAGCCAAGGAAGCACACAAGCCCCCTGTATTTTTAGATAAACTACAAAACACCGGAGTTGCTGAGGGGTATCCTGTGCGACTGGAGTGCCGGGTTTCCGGAGTGCCATACCCTCAGATCTTCTGGAAGAAAGAAAATGAGTCACTCACCTATAATACTGACAGATTGAGGTTAGTCTTGTTTACTCTTTATTAATTTTTGGGATTCTTTTATGAATACTGTGATATGCTAGTTACTGTTTTTTGAATAACCATCTGTTTGCTTTTCAAAAAATATTACGTTGAGTAAGTAAAAAAATTATAAAGCCAAATGTAACTTTATTGGATAGTAACCTAAATTGGAAATTGAAAATTACGTGTATTAGTGGGCACCTCATTGTCTTTTACGTTGTCTTACAGCATGCACCAGGATAATCATGGCTACATCTGCCTACTTGTTCAGGGAGCTACAAAAGAAGATGCTGGTTGGTACACTGTGTCAGCAAAGAATGAGGCTGGAATTGTGTCCTGCACAGCAAGGCTGGATGTCTATAGTAAGATAACCTTTGGGGGGTTACTTCTGTTATTTGGGGAACTGGGGTGAACCTAAAGCTGTGTCCTAGAATTTATTTTTTATTTATTTATTTACGATATTTCTATCCCACCTTTCTCAGTCCGAAGGCGACTTAAGGTGGCTTAAAAGTTGGCAGCAATTCAATGCCATAACAATCCACAATATACAATTAAGTCATTTAAAACAACATTATAAAATCCATACAAAAACTATTAAAACATATAATAACCAACATCTTTCTGCTAATCTCATTTTCCAGTAGCATCGTCTAAGCCGTTCCATGTTTCAATCTCAAATCATTCCGTGTTTGTCTATTGCTGGTCATATGTTACTGTTGTTTCATGTTAGCTTTTTTGGCTGCATGTTAGGAATTGAATTTTGCCACGAGTATGTTGGAAACCACTTTGAGCCCCCCCCCCCCGGAGTGAGAAAAGCAGTATATAAATGAAGTTAATATTAATATTAATAATCAATATGTATGTGTGTATATATAAAGGACTCAGGGCTACACGCATAAGCTTCTCTGTATCTGCAGAGATGCTGTATTATTTTGGTTCCCATCAATCAAGTGCTCCCTCTTTCTCTCCTTTCAGCTCAGTGGCAACAACAGCCCCAGACCACCAAGCCAAAGAAGGTGCGTCCCTCAGCCAGCCGCTACGCAGCACTTTCTGACCAAGGACTAGACATCAAAGCTGCATTTCAGCCAGAGGCAAATCCAGGACATCTGACACTGCAATCTGGATTGGTAGAAAGTGATGATCTGTAAATTTTAGCTATCAGATTTATCATTTTCTTTCAAAGTGAAAACACTGAAAGCCATTGTCTTGACCAATGATAATTTATGCCACTTTATGTGAAAGGCAGACACTTTTGTGTGCAAAAATAAGGAATACCATACTCATATATTTCTTGCTCAGTGTAACAAATTAGAGTAGGTAGTGAATATTCAGAAATGTAAAATCTGCACACATACACACTACCTTCACAATAAACAGTTTCTTGCTAGTTTATGGGGTGTAGTATTTTTGAACAATCCTATTCACAAATGCGGATGTGGATGCGATTTTTCAAAAGCAAACACACTGCAGAACATATCACTTAAGTGCCTTTGCAAGTTGTAGGTGCTGTTACTAATGCTAGCCATTTTATTGGGCCACAACACAACTGCGAGCATATCGGCAATACATTCTGGTGTTGACAGTGAAAATGTGCAATAGTGAAGGAATAAAACAAGCCTGAGAAAGAAAGAGCTAAACAAAATGTACATTGCTTTCTGTTCTCCAAAGAGAAGGGAGCTACTTGCCTTAAATTGCTTTGTATGAGGGAGCTTCACACGTGAAAGCTTCCTTTGATTTTTGCCAACTGAGGAGTCGCAAATCTATAAATATGCTGCCAAGCTAAATCAATCATAACATAATTTAAAATGGAGGCAGTATGATGGGATTGTTTTAGTGTTGGATTTGTAACAGTGGGATGGAATGAGGCAAAAGGTCAAGTCTTTTTCAGAGGACGAAACTGCTACAGGTGAAAACATTGCAGTCTCTCTCTCGGAAACACCAGGGTTACCTAAATGTTTCTTGTGAAACACTAGGCAGGGGCTCAACCAGAACCTATATGACAAAAGAATGGATATTTAGGAGTTAGAGTAAGTAAGTGGGGGAAGGACTGAGTCTGTAATAAGATTTAAATAAAATAAGCACATACTATAATAGATCAGTAGATATGGGAGAATGCAGAATGATAAGGAAATGGTGTTTCATTTTAAACACTGTATGCATGCATACTAGAAGTTACATTTATGTGTTCTTGTCTACTGCAGCATGAACAACAACCTGCCTATGACTGGGACCTTGTGAAAAAGTTTAAAATGGTTGATGTTCCAGAAGGTAGACTAGCTCTCTATCGAAATTAGAATTTTTGTAGATTATACTAAGCAATTTGGATTCAAAATTAATTCATTTTAATCAGGAGAGAGTTGTAAACCACTTTGATTGGGTCTGGCAGGAAAAAAATGCAGTTGTGATGGTACAAGAGTATTTTGCTACAAAAGGAAATCACTGTATTCCTTTTATGAAGCACATTGATAGTACTTTATTTATAATAAAATGTTGAATCTTTTATCTCAATCCAATTATTCAAATGCAGTACTTCTTTTTTAAAAAAAAGACAGTTTTGTATTATGTACCACACCATATATTTTGCATTACCGCTATTCATGTATTGCTTTGCACCTCATTGTTAAGTACACAAACCAGGTTTTTAGTAGCTAATAAACTTTTGCCACAGACAATAGTAACCCTTCTATATAAACTCTGCAGTTGGTAACAGTCTCAGTTACAGGAATTTCTTACATATTTTACTGTCATACACAATCTGTCATATTAAAATGTCCTACTGTCATCTTCTAACTCAATACGTCGAAATCATCCACATCATAATCTTTTCAAATGTGATTTGCTAATCTACTATTTGTTTAGCTTCACTAGTAGCATTTTGCTTCTTTTTATTTGTATTTATAAAACATGTACTATCATACTACTTTGGATTGTTGTGCTAGTATCATGTGGGTTTAACATCAATAAATATTACACAAGTCAATAATTAAGTGTTTTGTCTGGATAAATATCTAGCAAAGATTTAATAAAACTGCACTCTTAGTTAAACCTACTAGAGATTTTGTGGAACTTGATGGGATTTACTTCTGATCTGCAGGATTAGATTCCACTGCGTGAGGCAGCCTAGTCATGTATACAATTTACTGAAAATTGCAATGATGGGACATGTTGATTATATGTAATAATAACACACAACTGTTGATTAGAGTAAGGAACTGGAGTCCCCCTTGATAATAGCGAGATGGCCAGGGTGATTGACATGATCGCTCCTGAACGTCCCCTCTCATTGTGCAGAGTCACTCCGACTCCTTGGTTCAATGAGGAGTTGGCTGTGATGAAGCACTGGAGGAGGGGTCTGGAGTGCATCTGGAGGAAGTCTCGCGACGTATCTGACCAAGCACGGGCTAAAGCCACTTTTAAGGCTTATTATGCGGCTTTGCGAGCAGCCCAAAAAGTATTATCGACTGCCTGCATAGCATCTGCAACAATTAGACCATTGGAGTTGTTCCAGGTTGTTGGGGAGCTCTTCCGGCCTCCTGAGGTTGGGGGGCTTCCTGATGACTCGGCAACTCGGTGTAGTGATTTCGCGCACTATTTTACAGGCAAAGTTGCTAAGATACATCTTGAGCTGGACTCCAGCTTGAATGCAGTGCCAGAGGAGGTAACCGAGGCCAGATGACATCGAGGGGGTCCTTGGGTCTGTGAGAGTGACCTCTTGTGCTCTGGATCCTTGCCCTTCCTGGCTAGTTAAACTGGCCAGAGAGGGGTTGTTGGACTGGTTTGTTGCCATAATAAACGCTTCTTTGGGCCAGGAGAAATTCCCGTTTTGCCTTAAGCAGGCGGTGGTAAAACAGTTATTAAAAAAGACATCCCTTGACCCGACCATATGTAACAACTACAGACAATTTCCAACCTCCCCTTTCTGAGCAAGGTTCTGGAGCGGATGGTCACCTTGCAGCTCTAGGGATTCCTCGATGACACCGATTTTCTGGATCATTCACAGTCTGGCTTCAGGCCTGGACACAGTACCGAAACAACTTTGGTCGACTTGTGGATGACCTCCACAGGGAACTGGACAGGGGGAGTGTGACCCCGCTGGTTCTCTTGGACATCTCAGCAGCTTTCAATACCATCGATCATGGTATCCTTCTGGGGAGATTCACTGGGATGGGACTTGGGGGCACGGTTTTACTGTGGCTCTGTTCCTTCCTGGAGGGTCATTCCCAGTCAGTGAAGTTGGGGGGCACCTATTCGGACCCCTGGCCGTTGACCTGTGGGGTCTCGCAAGGATCTATTTTGTCCCCCATGCTATTCAATATCTACATGAAACGGCTGAGAGAAGTCATCCGGAGTTTTGGACTATAGTGCCACCTCTACGCAGAGGACACCCAACTCTACTACTCTTTTCCACCTGAATCCAAGGGAGCCCCTCAGATACTGGACTAGTGTCTAGCTGCTGGATGAGGACAAACAAGCTGAAGACAGTGGTCCTCCAGGTCAGTCACTCGCATGATCGGGGTATTGGGTGACAACCTGTGCTGGATGGGGTTGCACTCCCCCTGAAGTCACAGGTTAGCAGTTTGGGGATCCTCCTGGACTCAGCGCTGACGCTTGATACGCAAGTGTTGGCGTGGGCGGGAAGGCCTTCACACAGTTAAAACTTGTGCACTAACTGCGACCACACCTCGTGAAGTTGGACTTGACCACAGTGGTCCACGCCTTAGTTACCTCTATATTGGACTACTGCAATGCGCTCTACATGGGGCCTCCCTTGAAGATGGCCCAGAAACTCCAATTGGTCTAACATGCGACAACCAGATTAGTAACTGGAGCGAATTACAGGGAGCGGTCAATCCCCCTGTTTAAGGTGCTCCATTGGTTGCTGTTCATCATCCAGTCCCAATTCAAGGTGCAAGTCATCACCTACAAAGCCCTAAATGGCTTGGGACCCACCTACCTTCGTGACTGTATCTCCGTCCATGAACCTGCCCAATCCCTCCAATCTTCAGGGGAGATTCTCCTTTTGCCCCTGCCATTATCTCAGGCCTGCCTTGTGAGAACAAGGGAGAGAGCTTTCTTCTCAGCGCCCCCCCCCCCCCCCGACTTTGGAATACATTGCCCTGTGAGATTAGGCCCACTTTAGAAAGTTTTAAGAAGAATCTCAAAACCTTGCTCTTCCGTTGCACTTTTGGTGATTAACCATACAATTTTATATTGTTGCTACCTCTCAACATTTGTCCTTAAGGTACACCTCTTCCTCTCTTTATGAAGACCCTTCTCGACCCCACTCCTGAAGAGTTTCTCCCTCACAAATAATCTGCTCCATCCCTATCTCACCCCATGTTCTTAGCTTTAGTATTTTATTCTGTACATGTGGCCTGCTCACTGTGACTGTGTTATGAATTATTTTATTTTAATTTTATATTGTTTGCTGTATTTTATGTTTTATGTAATTTATCATGCTATTGTTTGCGTTTTTGACTTCATTTATTGTATTGTGTAAGCCGCCCCGAGTCCCCATTATTATTATTATAGAGGATTCCAGCCCTGGCACACTGAAACATACAATTCAATTGGCTCTTACATTCAGAATGTCTAATGTTTCCACATTTATTCTGCACTTCTATGTACAGTACAACAAGCTCTTTTGGAAATAACAATGCTGAAGTTAAAAACTAGCATCTGATCATTGATACACTGATTCATCCCTGCAAAAAAAATGATTTTCATCCCACTTGGACTATATAGGTGAAGTGCATAAATTTCGACTGTCATATGTGCTTCCTTCAGATCTGGCCACCCACTCATAAATACATTTATGATGCCTGTTTACAACAAAATAACTTTAGAAGCAATTGAATGTTTGCCTCTTGAAATGATTTGTCCTTGTGGTTAGTTTAGTAAATGCCTCATCATAAGAACTAACCAGCATTTTATGAAAATGGTTTGCTTGTCACATGTTAAATAGCTATTCGGATTTCACTCAATACATCAGTGATCACGGTAGAGGTGACTCAAGCCTCGAATTTAAAACAACACCCATGCTTGGTTGTTTTATAGGTTGTTTAAAAACGTTAAAAACAAATACACAATGGTTTAACAAATGCTGAAAAAACACTGTGGTAAAAACAGAGGGAAATGTGGGATGTCAAAGTAGTAGAAAATACGAAAAATAAATCAGAAACTATAATTACTTTTCAAAGCAATCTCTGCCAACAAGGAAAGTCTCCCACGGATATAACTCTCTTAACTTATTGTAAACAAACTTTAAAATGTTTGTTGAATTCCATAAATTCATCTGAAGACATAGTGACAATCTAGTAAATGTCCAAAGGGTGTGTCAAGGATCCATATCTTGGGTGTTCAAGACATCAGAACATCTCCATGGCATGAGTCCCATAGCCAAGGTCAAGAAATTGAAACATCAGGAGGCCCTGAGCAGGAGGGAGCCTGATAACACAAAGTGGTTCGGACTAGAAGGACGGGGGAATTTTCTGGAGTTGAGAGGGTGGGGTATTGAAATTGAGAAGTTGCCTGTATTTTTAAATGCATAACTTTGCTGTATAGCAGTAACCTAGCACTAAAGGAAGTTCCAAGATTCCCTTGCAAATTGAATTTAATTGCTACCAAGGTTCTGCAATCAGCACAAGGTGTAGGAGGAGACATTTATGGGTACTAAAACACTTCAAGCTTGCAAAATGTAGTTTCAATAAATAACCACCTCATTTTCCTGGAAACACATTTCTTGTGGAAGCTAAACAAACACTTACAAAATCATTCAGACATTTATTTTCAGCTGTCAAAAAATCAAGGGACGAGCCAGTTTGGCATAGCTGAATAACATGTGAAACGTAAAGCTCAGTGTGGGAAAGCTGATTTCTAAACCCAACAAAACCCGAATACTATTAAAGTTTGCTAACAGAATCCCTACGTGATTTAAGAAATATTACACTTACTTGTGATAAATAACAAAATTCCAGCAAACATGTCCAACTACATTTGAAACTGCTTATTTATGCCAGAATATTCTGTTTATTGTTGCAAAACTAGGAAGAGCTGAAATAAAATAACGTGAAAAATGTAAAAAAAAAAAAAAAAGCTTGGCTTTTCCAAGGTCATATATAAACTAAAAGAAGCATCTGAAGTATAAATACCCAGCCCTGACTATTAAAGCCCAAACTATCATGAGATATTAACCAATAACTCCCTAGGTTATACAACATTTCTCCACAACACCTACTCTCCTGAGATACTCGCCTTGTGCATTTCAGCTGAATCTCAATCAGTTTCTGCTGGCCGGATTCCGTAGACCTCCCATATCCGTTTTCACATGCCTCCCAAAAATGGGCACACCCGAAAAATACGGCTAGATCCGGCCCATTGGAGGCAATGGGGAACTTACAAGGCTCCCCTTTATGTCTCTGGGACACTTTCCTTTCTTCCCTTCAAGGGAGCCAGGGGTTCAGCAACGAGATTAAGGAAGCAAACTTCCTGAGACCCTTTCCTTCAAGGGAGCCCAGGTTTCAGCAACCAAGTTAAGGAAGCAACCTTCCTGGGACCCTTTCCTTTTTTTTCCCTTCAAGGGAGCCTGTGTTTCAGCAACGGGGTTAAGGAAACAGACACAGATTGCGTAAGTCACATCATAGCTTTCTTCTATTCTGATTGGTCCAAAAGGCAGGGCTCACAGGGAAACCCCAAGTGAGGACGAGCACACAGTGGCAGCCTCTTTGCGCACTGCATGCTCCTAAAAAGGGGGAGCCCTGATCTGCGGCCATGTGGTCCCGTTATGGACAGGAAATCGTGACGGCTGGGTCCTTGCCATTACAGCCATCCGACCAAGCCGAAGAAACTGGGTTGGCTGAAGAAAATTGCTAAAATGGATCCGTACACTTGCTAATGACATCCAGACTCTTTCAAGAGGGGTCCCCATGACCAACTGTTGCAACACAACTAATATATCTTGTGATACCTTGAAAACCTAGGTTG